TGGCCACTACTGTATACCCAACCCCCTTCCAAGCCTTACCACCACGCCTTTTCCTATACTGTTCGGTTCTAAGACAAGTCGACACAGTCTAATTCGACCTCTTTTCACTCAAAAGCAGCCATCGAACGCAGGGAATTGTGGTCAGGGGTGGGTAAATATAGGTAAATATGTCAGAAAAAAGCCAAATGCTTGTTTTCATCAATTCTTGCCACATTTATCAGAAAACATCGAAGTGACACTTTTCCTGCCGCCACGAGCCACTTTTTGCTTTCAAGAGTACAACCCCAGTGTGGAGTAATCGGACGGGCGGTTGACCTTGCTCGAAGCTGAGCTATTACTAGCGCTCACCAGAGTTAGTTGCCGTGTGTATGACTGCGATGGGCTTCTGTTTATTACCAGTGGACCTTTAAAAGGATCAAATAGTTTCTGAATATAATGTTCACAAGTTTAAATGAGATAGTTGTCCTATTCGGCTCTTTGGACCTGCTCGCGTCCATGTAGTGTAATAGGAATTAGTAAAAAGAAAAAATGGTTGATGTCCGAACAAGGAACGAAGCTGTGGCACTGTTACCGTGATGATCTTTAGACAACACTGTAACGGTGCTTGCTTTGCGCTTTACTTATCTGTCTTCCCTTAAATCCTCAAAGCAACATCCCGAAGATCGAATTTGTGTTTTTACAGCGGTCGATAAAGGAGTTGTGGATGCCGAGTTGGCTAAATATGAAAAAGGAATAAAGAAAACCGCCGACTGAATACTTAAAGGAGGATTTCACGATAACGGCGAAGGTAGAAAGACCCCTAAGGGCGTGGCCCGGCTTATGATTCACATCGAAGGATATTCTCCCAGCGATCTAGTATGGCCTTGCTCGTAGCCCGATTGGCGCGTTACTGGCCCGGAACGCGCCCCTCTCGCATCGTCTTTCTAAGCTTCTAGCCGTTCAACAGAGAGAGAGTTAGTATTGAAGAGTGCAACACCGATGAGAGCGGATCAATGCGCTATCTACGGGCAAGGAAGAGGTCTCATTTTTATGTAAAGCCATTTTTATCGGTTTTTCCTCCTTTCGTACATCACTAACCATCGCTAACATAATTCCCAATGGCTGCCTTGCATCGTGGACCCCGGCTTTGAACAAAGACTCCCTGTTTTCATTTAAACGAGGGAAGGGCGTGTCGGACCAATTTCTCAACTTGCTTGCTACACGGCTCCACTTACACGCTCTTTGAATAGTCGCTACGCCATTATCCACGCTGCGCATCACTGGATGTGCACGAGTATCTCGTCCATAAGTTAAGATTAGCCGCCATAAGTTTCCTTTGCATAGCCCTAGCGCCTGTCGCGCGGTTTCGAGCCGCGGCAACGGCGCATTTATAGTATTCTTGGGCTACTCTATCCCAACCACTGGATTGGTTCTTCGACACGACTTCTGCTGGGGTTACCATTTCCGTCAAGTCTTGGACATTTCTGGAAATTTTCCGGAAATGGATAAACGTAGCAGCTCTAGAGGCGGGATCAAGGATTACTCCGATGAGCGTAGTGCTCTTGTAGGAGGCGTACAATTTTAGCTCAACTTTTTGACTGAAAAGCATGACTGGGACGCTTATGGCGGCAACTGTACTTCAGATTCACACGTGGACGGGAAATGACAATAGAACAGTGACTTCGGCGCAAGCAGTGCTTGCAGCTGTCTATAAGCCAGATAAAGACCACAAATGGACTTCAGAACTGAACTGGCAACCAGTTGCTGTCCACACTGATCCCACCATAGATTGGGTATGCCATTTCAATTTCTTTGCATTGTTTGCATGCTTGATTGCACAGTTAGATATTCGGAATTGAAGTTTTTGACCGTTAATTGTAGGTGTCCACCGGTATCGACGATACCTGTAGCGAATATGAGAAGTCGTTCTTCGAATCACCTCAGTACAAGGAAGTTCTTGCGCCGTTCGATCCGAAATTAATAGAATTTCTTGAAAACAATACTGCAGTGAATATCACGACACCAGCAGACTTCAATAATGTCATCGATTCGCTGGTGACAAAGGTGATTAGTCAGTTTTCATAACAACTGTCGTAGGAAAGGGTTCGTGAACCAGCACAGAATGCCAAATTGGCCATGAAGGTGTTCTGGTGATTGATTGGACGTGCCGTTTAACACGTTGACGACATCGGATTTCATAGAATGATTTAGGCAAGGATGAAAGCATAAAGGGTAACTAAATAAATAGCACTAGATTTTTGTTTAAGAACTTTGATTTTTGTTTAAAAAGTTGTTTTTTAAAGAACGCATAATGACCACGAAGAAGCAAAAAGCATCACTTTCGCTGCGAATGAAGTTAAAAGCATTTATACCTAAGTTCTTCCATCAAATACAAATATCTTGAAACTCACAGAGTTTTGTATTAACTGCTTCTACAATCTTTCATATGAATGTTTACGACAGTGAAAGGAATACTAGGAAAGAATTGAAATGAAAGTTTTGTGCGTTCAGAAAATCTTTGCTAAATCAAGGGATATTTGACCACTCTGGCTGCCATGTGGTTTATAGTTATGCTAATGTATTATCTATAGAATGAATGCAAAAAACTCGAGAAGAAGGAGCGCAAGCACTAAAAATGAATGACATAGTTCTGACGCGCATGCGCGTCAGAATGTCCGATGCGGTGCCAAATTCTTGACGCGCATGCGCGTCAGCCTGTCGTCAACGTGTAAATTTGCGCACGGCAGCGACTCTCTTAACACCTTTCAGTACAACAGTTTTTTTTACATCTTTTGTGAGACGGCCTAGTACCACACTGCAGGAACACCGTAAAAATTGTAGTAGGCTTTTTTGGCGAATACTGCTCTGTTTTTTTCAGTTGACTATGAATGATCCACGCCTTCCCTACCCAGGCTGGGCAGCACCGATTCGGAACAATGTCACATGGCTTCGAACCGTTTTTCATCAAAGGATGATCGACGCACAGAGTGAAACAGCTGGACGTAGGAACTCTAGAAATTGTGGAATTCATAAGTTCATGTCGCAATAGTCGCATGTGTACTGCTGGGTCAGGACGCGTCTGTCGCAGGGTGCCGCGCGCGGAACATCCGTGGATAGAATGTCATAAAGGGTCACGGTTGAAAACGGTTAGCGATTTTCCCTCTATTGCTCAAATTGACCAATTGAGGACGTGGACAGTTCTTTCTTTCTTTGTTTCGTTTTTAGTTGTTTCCACAGATTAATTTCATCAAATCCTCTATGCTATTCTGATTCATAAAAGCTTTGATGTTTGGGAACGGACTTGTAGGATCTCCTTGGGTTGCATCGTATATTTTTCGAAATTTTCGAGATTCACACGACTTTGAAGGGCTCCTGAAGTGAATTAAATTCGCATACGTGTACAGAATTGAATTTCATGAGGTGGGGGTATCTAACATTTGAAGATTTAGTTTCGATTCCATGCGCATGCGTGGTGCCTTGGAGCTGCGTTATCTTCGGCGTCATCCGATTAGATGCAGCCATACGAGACCGATCATGATTGAACAAATGGGAGTCGGATTAATTTGAAGGAAGAACATTTTCTCTTTTCCATTCGCGTGGAGGTCGATTAGTTCAGCGTTTCATATGCTGTATTCTATTTCACCTGACATAGCGGATCTATGCGTGTATCAAATAAATAAATAACAAAATAATTAAATTGGTAAATAGATAAATAAATAAGTGTTGCGCGCGCGGTGAGCGGCAAATTGGGTGTCGTCACGTTCCTGACCTAGTGGTTCACGCATCAGACGAACCAGAAATCGGCTTTTCTTTACTTTTGCTTTCTCCTAACACATAATATGAGTTTGCCCCATTTTACACCGGACAAATAAGTGCCGTTCTTGAGTTCCAGTAGTATGCAAGTCATTGTTCTAGGATATCATTCCGAAATGCTCCTCTCCTTCATCGAGGACCACCTCAGCAGGCCTCAAATTTTAAAGAACAAGGCCGTATTTATATCAGGAGTAAGTCACTCAGTTCACTTGCACAGTGATGCGGTCATAAATATATTCCAGCATGACTCCAACTTCATGGCCCTCGGTCGGCAACTCAACATCACTCGAATAGCCAATGAAATGGTCCCGTATGCAGCACTATTGGCCGTTGAGCTCCATACTATAAATGGAACAAATGTTGTGGAGGTTCTGCGACTTATATACCCTCTTCACTCAATTGTATAAGAATTTAGCTCTCTGTCTTCGCGCTTGAAATGCGTGAAGCCTTTGAGTCGCCTGGATCATTGAACACCTACACGAGGTTAGAATGTAGCGGCAGCAGCGTTACGCAGCCCACATCGGGGTCGGCTACTGTTTCAAAACAAAGGCCCGAGCACGTCTCTATAGGTCGCCTACGAGTTCCCCTTCATGTCCAGCGATCTGCTCGCGGGTGTGGGATTTGGGAGGTGTACTCTTCAAAGCCTGCGAATTTTCAGAATTCTTCAGAGTTTCGCTACCCATAGTAAGAAAATCTCTTAGGCCGATGTCATAGTTTGCGAATCGAGCGATTCGCTAGCGAATCGCTGGATCCGAGCGTTGCGCCAGCGAATCGAACGTTGCACCAGCGAGTCGAACGATGTACCAGCGACTCAATAGTGGCGGGACCCAACGTTCAAAGGAAGCCCGCCACTTTCAAAAAGGGTCTGTTCGCTGGCGCAACGCTCTGATCCAGCGATTCGCTAGCGAATCGCTCGATTCGCAAACTATGACATCGGCCTTAAGGCTGCTTTCATAGTTCGAATCGGTCGCGGGTCGGTGCCGGTCGGTGCCGACGGCGCCGACGGCGCCGACCGCACCGACAGTGTGAAGAGCGTCAATACGCACTCTGGCGCATGACGCGAACGTTGGGCGCAGATCGCGTGCTCCGATCGATAATCCTGGTTTTGGTGTATTTCTTGTGCTTTTCGATGTTTTTTTTTCGCGCCGTGTTGCTTTAATTCGTGTGTTTCCTGTTCATACTTATTCTTTTATGGGCGCAATGTGGCTCGGGGGGGGAAGTCGGTGCGCGGCTCAGCGATGTAGTGTAACTCGAACATTCCAGCTTTTCACGGGACATTTCAGCTTCTCACGCATGCTAAGTGACTGCCCTCACCCCCTGAATTTGGCTACTCCTCCCCTTGGCTTGCGAATTTCCTGTTGCCGCAACGCCCCGCGCGGCGGCTGCCCCCCCCCTCCGAGCCACATTGCGCCCTTTTATGTCTTGATTAATACTTTCCAGTTGTTCCGCGGGCGAGCGACGTCGTGAACCCGTCGCACAACTCCGGGTGGATGTGGCCATACCGGGTGTGTTGGTCGTAAGCAATTTTGTTTATTCATATGAAGTGAGTGCAAAAAACATCGAAAAAATACAAGAAATACACCAAAACCAAGATTATCGACCGGAGCGCCCCATCTGCGCCCAGCGCACGCGTCATGCGCCAGAGCGCGTGTTGACGCTCTGATCCAGCGATTCGCTAGCGAATCGCTCGATTCGCAAACTATGACATCGGCCTTACCTGCTGACCTATGCTCATTCATTATTTCACAACCATGTTGTAGCACTGAAAAGGCTCACTAGTTCGTGCTTCTCGGTAGCAGTGAATATACACTGGTGTGCAAAACTTAAGGACGAGATAGATGAAGTAGAACTTCGGTTCCTGTTGATTGCTTTCTGTTCTGCGCTGTAGCAGCTCTTTCCATGTGTGGTTAGGTTCCACAGCGCTATGTTACTCGCCAGTAACACGGCTTGGTAAAACTACGTTCGTCCTTAAGTTTTGCACATCAGTGTATTACTCTTTTAGATATGGCTGTCACCATCGCTTAACGACGAGTTGGTCCGTATGGATATACCGCAATGCCCGAATCCGTGTAAGCTGGAAACACTCAAGGAATTTCTCAAGGTTTGAATGAATAAATACGAAAGCGAAACCGCATCATAAAAGCTTGGCCGGTCTGCCAAAAGAAGTCGATAAGGAATTGAGAAAAGCGCATTTGTATTGATTTGATTACCCGACACATTGTTTTCTGAATGAGAACATTCCATTGAAGGATCGATAAATTGATTTTGATGAAGTTGCGCACCTAGTATAAATGGAAACTGGGACATACACTGCGACGTATAATTCATAATTCCACTCACAAATTTCCCAAGAACTTTCATTTGAAGATGTTTTCGCAAAAGGCTCTGAAAAGGAATTATGAACGCAGTTCTAATATCAACACAAAAGGTCAATCTAAGAAAGCAACAATTTTTTATTTTCATTTTTTTGAAAGCACATACTTATACCACAGTACTTACTTGTTGATATTTAGAACGTTTACATCTATCATAATTCCTTCTCAGAACCTTTCTCGAAAACATCTTCAGATGAAAGTTCTTGGGAAATTTGTAAGTGGAAGTATGATTATACGTCGCAGTGTATGTACGGGGCTGATACGTGGCGTAGGCGTTCGCGGCGAAGGAAGCGCCTCAGCGACATAACAAGGCTTTATCCATCGTTTTGTACGTTCTCGTCCCTCTGAGTGCTCGATGATTCGGCTACCCTCGCTGTTGGTCTTTTGTCGTCGGATTCTAGGCATCCAGTGGAAAAGCAGAGCAGAGCCTAACGTTGATGACGTTGCACCAGTGTGACTGTTCAGAAGGAATAACAGGACTCTTCTTCCCTCGTCAAAAACCCATGGGAGAAGGAAGTGTCCCACTTTGGGAGATTTAGGCCGTTTCTCTTATGACTAGTTTTCACGACTACACCTTTGAACAGCTCTGTTCTCATTCCCAGCTGGAGACCAATTTATCGCATCACTTGCCTTAAAGGTTCAAATTTACTGCAGGGAGACGAGTCGAATAGAAATGTGTAGGCTGCCTTGCGCGTGGTCATGAGCTTGGCGTGAGCAGATAAAAGGATGTTTCTACGTTAATATCGGAAGTCGAAGAAAGGGAGCATACCTAGTCAAAAGGCAGGTGGGCCCCGTTGCGCGCTTTGCATGCCCCCAGCGGCGTGACCGTACCGCTCGCGACACTGCCCGCCCATCGACTGGCTCTCTTGCCGTCGACATTAGCGAAGGCGCTGAGCAGAGCGCTTGCACTAATGACGTCAGTAGTGACGAAACTCGCCCCCAGGCAGGATAAAACTTTTATCGGCTCATCATGACCATCTCTGAACTATTAGGTGGAACTTGGAATGTTCCTTCCTCTTCTGTCCTTGTTTCTCAGCTCGAAAAATCTCTTATGATGGATGACATTCATTCGAGAGAGCGATTCAGCGCGCAAATCGTGAAATCTTACAAATAGCGCAGTGAGGGCGGATGTTCTTCGGGCCAAAACTTTTGCTCGAAGATTTGGGTTCAAAAAACATCGTCTGAGCGTATACAGTGCGTTTCATAATTATAAAGTCACCCTAAAATTTTGCACTCTTGAAAAAAGCAGCAGAGGTAATTTTCGTAACCTCACAGTGTGTTCCTCACTATGGAAAACCCTGTATCACAATTTTGGCGGGAGCAGCTTTCCTTTTAACTTTTTATAATTATTTTTCGGTTTTTGCGCCGTTTCATAATTATAAGGTCACCCTATGAAAAATATACTGTATAATCAGAAAAAAGCAATCTGCCTGTGAAAGTGAATATCTGTTACAAACACACCCATTAGTTGAATTTATGAAATGTTGTGTACCCGCCTTCGGAAGAAAAGGTAAATTTTACGCATTTCATGGTGCTCGGCACGGTTCGAGAGTTTTTCCATGGCATTTCGGAAGGTCCGTAGCTCCCGCTCCTGGATAATTGTAAAGCTCATTTACCCAGATATTCTGCAAGTTTCAAACCTCCACAAAAAGTTTTTATAATATTAGGTAGAGGAGGCTGTCCCAACAGTATTTTCCTCTTAGAAATCGCGTCGGGCATAATTTAATTGTCCTATTTAAAAACTATGACTGGGGAGCGGTCAGAAAGAAGCAGCAACATTATCATAAAAGAGACAAAGGTGATCCGGAAGCTTCCCAGCTGTTACAAAGGGGCACAACTCTAACCCGCAAAGTTAAACTCAGAGAGATTGACCAAGGTTGAGCCTGCGCCGCAGTCGCACTCCACAGCAAGATTATTTCAGTAAGATTGGTGTTTTCCGAACAGAACTGGTCTAAACGACAGATCCCTGGGCGATATGAACACTCTGCAGGCATGCGAAGACGGCTCGTTCACTTTAGCGCTTGCAAATTTCAGTTAAGCATATGTCAGAGGTGTGGGTGCTTTTTATAATGATGTTGTGTCAAAAGTTCGTTTCCATGAACTGCCTAATGGAATCCAAGCATGAGCAGAACCTTTTGAGGACATCTGACCTCTATCTTGAGCTGATGAAGTCGGCTAGCTAGAGTGATACAGAACACACATGTCCGTGGTAGGCAGAGTCAACCCTGCGTTGCGCAGTTCTCAACGGCCACGTTGCGCAGTTTCGCCCGATTAGACACGTTCTCTCGCGCGAACATTCACACTCGCATGCTCGAGCCGTCTGCGTCTCCGCCCATACAGCGTGCGTTGAGGATCTCTCAACGTGCCGTTGCGAACTGCGCAACGCAGGGTTGACTCTGCGTATAAGGCCCGCTCAAAGAAGCCGCAGCATTTCTTTTCGAACCGCCTGAAGGACTAAGCAGCATTATTTTGAACGTTTTATGTCGTATTTTAAGTAGATACTCTAAGGGTTATTCTCTCCGTCATGAAGAATCATGCGAATAAACGCCAGTTAGGAACTTCAAAACTGCTGGAAACAAGCAAGCCCTGAACCGAAAAGGTGAATCGATGGTCAGCTGCCTTGGAATCTCAATCCCAGTAGGCCACGGAGGCTATTCGTGTTGCCCTTGATGAAGGAGTTCTGTAGTTCATTCGCCGTTACATCTGTCATTAATCTTAGTAATTGTATCTAATCCTCGAGGGTGACTTATTTATGAGAACGTTCAAAACTGTAAAATAATATTTTGAAAAAGTTCAGGAGAAGACAGCTGTTCTTTTCAAATGCGATCCAGGGTTATAACATCGTGAGGGAATTCATTTGGCCTATATGGCAAAAAACTTATCACTTGGCGTGATGTGTCCGGAAATCGACATTTCAGGGTGACCTTATAGTTATGAAACGCACTGTATATTCAAGCAAGAAAAACGGCCAACGAATCCCACTCACTGCGTGCAAAACATTGAGCAGCAACACTCGGTCTCTGATGCACTTCACTATGGGCTTTCGAGGCAAAATGACGAGGATGGAAAGGCTGTGATTTTGACCTCTAGCTCTGATAACGAGAACTGAAAGCCAATGAGTCCTCGACAAAACGCACAAAACTTGCACAGAGATTGGGTTGTGTCGACAGAAAATTTGAAAGTTCATAGGTGCGACTGGTAAGGCTTTTTGAGATAGAAAATGGGTTTCGGCCTATTCAGGGACGCCAGCCACCAAGCCCACCGTTTCCTATGCCTTTCTTTGAAACGCTCCTATGTTTCTTTAGCAAATCTCTTTGGTGATGGCGTAATTTACAGATACAATGTGCTAACTGATAAAGTGTAAGAGCAGATCTGTTTTAGCAGAAATTCTGGTTGATAAGTTTGTTCGCAGGGACGACGTTTGACGCGAGACTCATGGATACAACAATGTCGGTGGTGTAGGGCTACATACTGGATACAGTAGTGTAGTTACAGGTAAGGAGACGAATGTTCTAATACCAGTATTCTCTTTTTTATTCATTATCATGACTGTGCACGACGTTGTAATGTTTGTTTTTCTACGTGGCTTTTTAATTGCTGTTACATCCATGATTATTTGCAAAAAAACGCTGCCCACAGTGATGCATTTCGCTTTAGCATCGATAATTCTTCTTCTGGCGATCTTTGTCGTATCAACCGTGGTCCTTGCTTGCACAACATTCTCGTATAGGAAACAAGTGAAGGAGCTTCAGGATCCTGAACGGCGACGTCTCTTGGAAGAATCTTGATTTTTTTTTCATGATCTTGACTGTTGGAATACTGTTTTGTAAAAAACAAGTGTAATCAGGTGCTTAAACACCGCACAAAACCTTTGGGAGTGGCGTTCCAGACACAATTTTTGTTCAGTTCCATAAATTTACTTCAATCTGTTCTTGAACAGTGCTAGTGTCATGAACAAGTGATATACCTGATTTTCAAAGAACCATTCAAACAAAAAATTGCAAAATGACGATTTCCATTGTCGCTAGTGCGTTTCAAGTGATTTCTTTCAAAAAGGTGTCATGTTTTGAAGAAATCAAATGAAAAGCGAAGGAGGTGAAGGATTATGAATGGTGAACCTTGGCTGAATCCGGTGAAAATTCAGTTGGCGGTCACTCCTTGCTATCTTAACGTTAGCCCTAGATAGCCCTCTTTCGGGCTTTCTGAGGCTAAGATAATAGATGAACGACTCATTTCGGAAAACACTTTCGATCAGGATCGGTGGACGTCTTACATTCACATCTCTTGCCCAAATCCAATTTTCAATTTATCCAATTGTCTGCACCAGGTCACCTACCGGAGCTGCTCCACCTTTGGGCTGAAGCAAACTCTCCATTCCCGTGATTGGACCGATTCCTTGAACCATTGCAGGCTGAATTGTGGAAGCACCTCACGGACACTCCTACACTATGGCGGTACCTATCAAAAGTATGCACACTCCAAATGATCGATTACGTGTCACGAGCGCTCTCTTCGTACGTTAAGTATTGGGAACATAATGGTGTCCCCCACCCAAACTGTCCGAATCCAAACCGAATAAGCCCGACTAAAAATTTAGGAGCACATTCTACTCTATGAGAAAGAAAAAAACTTCACAAGCCTTTTCTATCGACGACATCAGGGACTTTCCCACGGGTACATGGTGTGCGGTTTGAGCTCGGCGAGGTCCTGGACTGATCGTGAGCCATTCTTCACGCTTTTCAAACCGCTATTCGGCGAGGGTTACCCACTTTCAGAGGTACTGTCTCTGAGGAGCTACCCATCAGTAAAGCTATGGAAGGATTTGTGTGGCAGCTTTATAATGGAGCGATTATGGTGCGCCTTCTTGAGCTCATCATAATGGCAGATGAAGTCACATTCTGAGGACAGGGAGGGTAATGAGTAAGGGCTTGCTTCTGCTTCTGGGGGAAATTTGAGGTGTATTTTGCCGTAAAGTTGTCATGAAGAGGGGCACCCTATGCGAACAAAAGTTTGATGTTTTGGTAAAATGACTGTTTCTTTTTTGGTCACCCCTGTATTATACAGGGTCAAGCGTGCGTTGAGGAATCCTCGACATGTCACAGAGGGGGGGGGGGTCGTATTGGCCCGCTGGGGAGAGATCGGGCCCGATTGATACAGTAGGATCATCGTCGGAGGACAAACATCAAGGATCGAATCGATACCAGGCCAGAGTATTTCCAATAACAATTGATTCCGTCCACACAAAATCTTCGTGATTTAGAGGTGTCCGCTTAGCAATTCTTAGTTACTTCAGTGTTTTATCACCACACAAGTTAAAGAATCCGAAATTCGCACGTTTTCAAGGGATATTTTATCTTTCAAGTAGGTCCTCAAATCCAACGAGATGTGAAGCACACGGCGCATCCCAGAGTGGGCCCAGTTGGTTGCGCGCGCTTCAGCTACGGCTATCTTGATAACGAATCTTAATTCAGGAAGAATCAAGAGGATTCTGAAAGAGTTCATGTTAAATTACAGAGAGGAGTACACTATTCAACAAGAAACGCAGCCTTCAGCGTCAAATTCACAAGCATGTAACCTTTAAAGTTGAGACCCGCTAAACAATTTTACACTTTTTGCAGAGAGAAAAGCACGAGGATTTTGAATCTGCTCCTACTTCAGTATGTAATCGCTCCTGCAAGGAGCTATAGTCGTTGGGATAGTGCTAATGTAGCGAAAAAGTACCCTTTCGGCGGTACTCGGGCAAAAATCCTCAACGTGGCCATTTTTAAATAGTGAACGTATTTAGCAGTTTTAGTTGCCTATAGAAAGAGCAAATCTTCTAGTTTATGATGACGTATTAACTTTCCAGATTGCATGAGTTTGAACGGAGTTATGGCTTTGGAAAGCGTAAAAACTCGCACTCATCACGAATTTTCCTCGTTAATTTTGCAAAAATCCTCAACGTGGCCATTTTTTGAGTACTGGACGTATGAAGCTGCTTTAGCGACCGTTTGATAGAGAAAATCTTCTAGTTTTGTATGACGTATCAACTTTTTGAATTTGACGGAAATGAAGCAAGTTATTGCTCCGGAAAGTGTAAAAACTCGTGCTCGTCTCGAATTTTCCTCGTTATTTGATCTAAATTTGTTATTTCTTATAACTTCCTGTAATTTCAGTACTGATTAGAAAAGCTCTTCACAAAACTCCCAAATCAGCTTTCAGATTGAAAATTCGTTAACTTTGAAGAAAGTTATAATCATTTGAATATTTGTTCAAATTTCAATAGTAAATAAGCTGCTCCACGGTCAACGCCAAAGTCCAGTCAACACACACAGCTGGCGAAGGCTTTTACAAGGCTTCCTTTGAGCGAAAGGGGGACGTGTAAATTGAGAACCATAATCTGTGTAGTACTAGAATTTGGTAAGTCTTGTGGAGGAAATAAACAAAGAAGAGGTGTTGTCATAGTACGCCATTTCTAGTGACTAGTTTTGACGTTTTTTGCTCCGTTTCTCGTTTGCTCGTTTGACAGGACTCGTCATTAATGATCATTCTTTGACTTTTTCACTTTTATACTTTTTAAACGAGTTTTTTTGTGGACGATGGGGTAGCAGGGCTTTTTTATGAGCAGTTTTGGTGGAGAATTAAACAACTTTTTCATAGTTCGGCTTTTAAAGAGGGTTGTTTCATGGACTTCGGCCTTCGGCAGAGGGAGGGGGGGTCGTATTTCCGAATTTTCCTCGACGCCTCGCTTGACCCTGCCTGTATATCGCTTGGGCTTTATGCTCAGTACATCATTCACACATTCTTCTCACGAGCTGAAATGGCGCTTTTTTTTTCTGCACCGGACGGTCCGAAAAGCACATTGCTTTTGAAAAGGATCATTGTCCTTTTCATAAGCAATGTGCTTTCCGGACCGTAGACGGAGGAAGTCGTCAATGTGAAATTCATGAAACACGTACATTACGAAACTTCCTCTCAAATATTGGACGAGCTAAGATGTTGCCACAATTCGGTTAGAATGTAAAGCGTATAAAAGCTGTGCACCACATGGTTTCCAAGGAGCGATGAGCGGGATGAGTAAAATTCCCATGCCCGTACGATCAGCAGCGTTATTGACGATTTGCCATGATCACTTGCTTCCCACACTGAATTTAATCTGACACAATTGCAACTACTTTTTCTTTCTAAACATCAAGCATTATCGAACATTTTCGCCAAATCTCGGTGTAACATCTCTTTTCGCTCCATCTACCTCTTAATTGGGAGGCTTATATAGAACAGTTGATGCAGTATTTCACGAAAAACCATTCACGTTTCCGACCATTGAAAGTCCTATTCCATTGTTTTGGCCGATCACATAAGAACACCAAACACGCCTCCTAGGGGTACAGGTACAACGCCCGTTAGCTGCAAGTGCCACCACGGACTTGTGTTAAAGGAATCCTTCGCGGAAAATTCTTGCATTCTTTCTTGACATGAATATGTCAGTTGTGATCACTGGAAACAGCACACAAAGTTTCACGCATGAAGATTCGGTTTCCGAAGAGAAACAAACGTACAAAAACTACACGTTATGGACATCGAAGGTAATTCGGGCGGAGCCAAACGAGGCATGGAAAGAAGTTGGCCTTTGGCCGGCTACGTATCAGGCGACGCAATGAAGAATCGGGTTAAAGCGCGCGATTTCGGAGAGTAGAGACAAATCGATCGATAGAATAGGATGGAGTAGAAGTGTAAGATGTGAATGCAATAAAGCAGAAGGCCAGAAAGAGTTTCTAGTGAAGGCACTCCAAGAACCAAGTGGAAGCATCCCCGTCGCCAGCATTTGTGAAAGACGTCCGTGGGCACTTTGAACGCGTAGCAGCCCTTTCGATTTTTCGAATTTTTTTTACCAAAACAAAAGCAATATTTCTGTTCTTTTCATTCTTATCGTGGATAATGAGTCTCAAGCCAGTGATTTATGGCTGAAATAGAATCATGATTTTTCCGCGAAGGATTCCTTTAAGAGGGAACGTATTTGCACTCAACGGAAGTAGCTACATACGTTCTACTTACGGCAAAATTCCGAGTTCAACCACCTGGCCTTCCCAAGGATAGTTCCGCTGGAAACTGCTCACAATGCTTTTCTTTTCGGACGACTGTCTCCGGTTATTCCCTTTTGGAAACTCGTGTCTCTGAAAATCAGCATTTCATGGTCTCCATGAAGTTAAAGATCTAAAAAGGGGAAAACATCCGGCGTTGATCAATGTTTTTTGGGATGCGCCCTGCATTCCTTGACTTCTTGTCGGTATTAGAATGGCTTTTAAATACCATTTCACATGTACAGGCTTGTTCGTGAAACCGTTTTTCTTCGGATGGATTTTTTCTCTTAAGCTCCATATTTTTACATCACGTTTTTGCTGTTTATAAGAACACATTTTGCTCCACAGAACCGTTATCACCTCGTACACTGATCGCGAGGAATTTCATGCCTGCAAATAGCAAGTACAGTGGTCAAACAATGAGCCAAATTCTGTTTTCCCCGAGGAAAATTCTAATGATCAGCGACGTACCCTG